TATGCTTGTATTTTAAAGATTTAACGTTAAGTTTATCTACCATGGTACTGGTATTGAAAGAGAAGGAGAAAAATCAACAGAAACACTAATGAAAAGTAGCATACTGACCGCATAATATTGAAGGCTTAATGAACCGCTTTTATTGATATAAAAATAAAACACAATAAAAAGATTTATTTTCTTAACACTCTAAGAAGACAAAAAGTATCTGTTTAACAAAGGTTTCTATTTACAGCGAGATAAAACTTGACGGTTTCGACCAATAATATAGAAGTCCAAAAGTTGATAGAGTTTTTCCTCTGTTCGTTTAGTTGATTGAAAAATCTAGTCTAAACTACTGATTTTAATTACTTAAGCAATACAGAAGTCGAAATATGATAAAAAATGACTACTTTTTATTCTATCTTTCGGAGCAGCATTTTTCTTATTTTGCTTCTAAACAGAGCATTAATCTTTCATCGTTTCGAGCAAACAAGTGAGAAAAAACTGATTACTCCTTTTTCTAGTTTTTCTCCTCTTTTTTCTTTATCATATCAATTAACTGTTGCTGCTGTACCAAAAATGTCTCTCAGCACTTTCATCAACCTATTGATATCAAAGTCCAACTATTTTTAGTATTTAGAAGTTGCTTTATGTTACATATATGAATAACTGTGATTAAACTTTTAGTACAGTATTGTTATATGTGTTCTTTATCCGCACAATTTTGTTTGTAATTTTTGAGTAAACAAAAACAAAGAGGCTGTAATAAAAACAATACCGACTTACCAGACAAACTATTTTCGAACGACTGTTCGGCTTTTTCAAGTCCATTTAACAGACTGTGCAACTGTTGAGATTTCTGAAATTGCTAAGGTTTGAGTAACTTGTAATAAAACAAACCAAAAAATAATCTCTCACTTCTAGTGAAATGTACAGTGTTGTTATGTAATAATTTAGCTCTCAGCAAAGTAAATATTTTTTTATAATTTTTGAAATTGATAAAAGCAGTTTTAAAGTAAACAATTTTCTGTAAAAAAAAAAAAAAGAAAAAAACAAGTCTAAAGTTACTTCTTCAAGTATACGGCGCCACATTGCGTTGTCTTTCTCCAACCGATTTAGGCGTTCTTTTTCGTCGTGTATAATTTTGCTGTAAAAAATTTGGTGTGAAGACTCTTAATCTGCTGCTAATATTAGCTATCACAACACACTGGAAAGCACGCATTAGCGCAGAATTTGAGAACAGTAATGATTTGTTTACCACATATATGTGAATATAATAAATTTCAAAAAAAAGTTATAGCAAACTGCAGTAAAATGTGACAGAAAATTGAGCTAATGATAAATGAAACAAAAACTGAAAAACCAGTTGGCTTACGCAGAGTTATGACTATTGGTATGTTTTGGTTGTGTACTAACAACAGATCTCATAAAATTTTTACGACACCGTTGATCAAAATCCTTTGAACCTCTGTTTAATACAACCCATACCTAAACAAAAAAAATTGATGAACAAAGTGTCGTGCAGAATTTAAGCAACTGAAATAGCAATTTTATGTTTTTATTATGTTTAAATCTTTAATCAATATTTAATTTTGCTTTTTTTGATAGTGTAGATTAGCAGTCAATTAGAGGATGTCAAATGTCCCGCATAATAATTAACTGTTTTGTCTTCCGCAGTTTGTTAATCTGTTTCCGTTGCTAAGCTGTTCGTGACAAAGCCATTTAATTTAACATTATCTACAAATTACGTATCTCTCAAAAAACATACTTTAGGCACGAAAACAAGGCATAGTGTAACTGTGGTGCTGATAAATATCAGGAAAGTTGACAAGGCATAAGCTTGATTAATGCTGTCCTAAAAAATTTTTTTCCGCTTGTAAATGCTCTTATTTGAGCACAGTTAAAAACAGTTGGTCTTCTAACAACAACCAGAATAAATATTGAAAAAAAATTTTCTAAAAAAACTTTAAAAAAAAAAAAACAAAAGAAAAGTAAAGCTAAAAAATTATTAAAAACCTGAAGAATCAAAGCAAGTGAGATTCCAAGAGTGGATACAACAACGACAATATAAACAGATAAACCAATGTATTTGCTATCATTTAACGCCGGTACGTTGACATGCCGTGTTTCCCAAGCCAAAAAGCAGCCAAGAATCTAAACTTGTAACGGTTAACTCACACTTAATAGCGCAAAACGTTCAGCAGTTACAGTCATTCTTTAACTTTTCTATCTTAAATTTTACCGCCTTTCTAGTTGCTTACCATAAGGAGACCTTTGGCTGCCAGTAAAATTGTTTGGAAAACAAACGAATCACCGCTGTAACATCTTTCCACCTGCGGTTTTACTTTAATCAACTTATCCTCCAGAACCTAAAATTTTCAAGAAAACTTGACTACAATGGGTACTAAAAAGCTTTATAAAATTCCAAAAAAAAGACAAAGATGCTTTTTCTAATAAAAAAAAATTTAATCCTAAATTACTTCCAAGTGAAGTAACTGAGCAAAAACAAAAAAAATTTAAGATATTTGATGTGCTTTGCAAATATTTATTTAAGGTATAAAATCAGCAATAAAAACACCTATTAGCCATTTTTCCACTCATTTTTCTGTTTTTTTTTCTCTCGTTTTAATTAAATATTTATAAAACAAAATTTGTTTTATAAGTTTAAAAAAAGTAGAAAAAGGCAAAACGCAAACTATCTTACATATGGTTCCAGTTTGGCAATAGCAACAGAATACGGCGAAATGAAAGCCCATAATAATAGTGTTAACATATCTAACAGCACGAAAAAGCCAACAATCAGAAACAGTTTATAATCTTTTATTGCTTTTTTATTCATACAAATATTGGTAAAAATTGAGTGAACACGCCATGTTTTTGAAAACATTGAACCAAATGCCAATGTAAATCCTAAACATAATACCCAGGTTTTTACCTGAAATTAAACAACTAGAAGTTATTATAGATATTTCGATAATTAATAAATAGAGAAACAAAACTTTAGGATATTTTATTTAGTTGGTACTATGTAAAATAAAACTCGAAACATAGTCTTTAATTCTGCTAATATGAATCAGTTTCAGGTTTGTAAGAACAGAAAAAAAGTGTACCAATAAACTTACATAACAAAGTGAAACAAAACAGTCTCGATTCACCAGTCGGGTATCAATGCCAAGAAGTATAATGCTTGCATAAGTGCATATAGAACCCGCAATTATAAGATTATTTAAATTAGGTGATGACATTTTTATGAATCTGAAACAATGCTCTATTGGTATATCTGAGAAGGAAAATTTTAGAAGTAGTTCGCAGTAAAAAAAAAACTTGTTTCAACTTTTTTCGACTTTAACTAAATAAAAAAACTTGCGTGAAACACAAGTGGTAGATAGATTAAAAACGCTAAACGTTTGGAAAAGGTAGTTTCTTACCTGTGACTACGAAAACGTATATTGATGGCTAGAAAAATGAAAGCTACAGCAATACCAGTTAAGGCCATTAAAGATGAAATAAGAAACAATAGAGTGTCCACATAAACCCGTTCTTCCTTTTCCAAATTAGAATCTAACGGTGCTTTCCAACCTAAACATTGAAACATCCTAATCATTTAGATTTTAAACCAGCAGTTATCTTTCAACAGATTATAACTGTTTTTGCTACGAGTATATAGTCTGTATTATTATCTATTAGTGATTAATTACCCATTAATAACTTTTCTGGTGCTAAAACATTGGTAAGCGAATTGTAGTATCCAATATTTACATAAGCTCCATCACGCCATTGCAAAATTTCGACTATTCCAAGACGATCGTTGTCTTTGAATTTAACTGTACCCTAAAATAAATACAGCATTACAAAGGTCATAGCATATGAGTTGATTGTAATAATTATTAAAACAATAAATTTATTGCTTAGAAATAGCTTAATGTATTTAATTACTTAAAGAATAAATCACTTACGGTAACTCCTTGAAACGATGTCTGATTTAATGCTTCGAACAACAATTGATGCATTGCCTCCCAACTGGCTTCATCGTTTGTCGGCTCAAATCGCACACCATATTTACTGCGGTATTTCAATGATGCTGTATTGATGGCCATCGCCAATGCCCATACACCGTCATATGCATAACCGGTGAACTGATTGTTACCACAATTTTTGTCGTCACAACTTGATTCTAATTCTTGCTTTACCTCTCTGACTGTCTGAAAAAAATTAGTCATCTGTTGTTTAATCTGTTTAACCTTAAATTAAAGTTCTGTATACCATACACTACACTAAACAACATTTCTCATCAACTTCGTTTTTCGTTTGGTACATCAAAAACCGTAGTTATTTGACTTGGTAGACCAATTTATTCAACTACACATACACTTCTTTCAATCGCAGGTCTATTTTCATTTATACAGTTCAAACGTTCTGCTACAGTTTAGCAATTTGAGGTTGCTTTTTTTGTTTTTTTTTGATATTTACTAACTGGTATTTGCAAACGAAATTTTTTTGATAAAAATGATATTACAATATTGTCAAGTAGCAGGAAAAGCAGCTTCAACGTATAGCAGATGCTAAGCACAAATGATTTTTTTTTTGAATTTGCAAATATAAAATAACTAAAAATTTTCAAAGAACGTTTAAATTTATTATAAGAAAAGACCAAAAATTGTCTACAAATCTTCTCTGTTGATTAAATTGACTAGTCTTTTTCAATTTGACTTTGTTATCAGAAATATTCAGCCATACCTAAAATGATATAATATTTTTAAAAAATTGTATTACAGAAAAGTTATAGATTCAAAAATATGTTCGTTGCAGACTGTATAATTATTACTATTTCTTATCTTTCTTTTTCTAAGAACACAGAAGCATTGATCGACTTAAAAATCATAAACAGTAAATCAGAAACATTTCGATTATAATCTTTACTGTTTTTGTTGCTACTACTATTTGACAAAAAAATTCTGCTATTTAACGAAAAGTGAGTTACTACACAAACAGTACGAATTAAGTGAACAAAATTGCATTACTGTTTTTTATTGTCGACAAAACGTGCTTTTTTTGGGGTACATAAACTACAGTAACAATGATAAAAAACGGTTGTAATTTATAATAATTTTAGAGAATTTAGTAGCTTTAATAGTTTAAATTTTTAGCAGCTAAAAACAAATCCAAAATTGCTTAAGTGTCATATAACTGTCTAATAACTTTTATTTGAACAATCAATGAACTGCACATTTTGCATTAAAAAAAACCGATAATTGAGTTTCTTTAATATGGTTCCTCGACATTTTTTTATTCTCTTCTTTTTCTTTCTTCTGTGCTATCCTTCTGTAGTCCTTTCTCCTTCAAAAAATTAAGTGTCCATCGCATAAATGTGTTAAAGAGATAACTGTCATTTCCGTTTAAAAAAAAAAGTTTTTTCAAAAGAATATCTCTGTTTGGACAATTTTTGGTGTGTTCATTGACGTCATAATTCACACAAGCATAATTGTAAGTTATACATTAATCTGCAATCTACGGTTATTCAGTAATTCGAGGAGCTCGTGACTGATGGTACAGACTCTGGTACGCCCAGCAACAACAACAATAAAAATCTGTTTCCTTATGTTACAAAAAAAAGATTTTCTTGAGTGTTATTTTGTATTACGAATAAAAAGTAACAGGGTTAAAGAAATATGTGTTCAAAGTAATTCAGTTTTAGAGCCAAAAGAAAAAACAACTAGAAGGAACCCTTAAAAAAGCACTAGAGGTAATAGAGCAAAAAAAAAGATACGACGAGGAGAAAACAGAACTTTACTCTTTAACTCTGTCTTATAATTCGATCAAATGACAAAAAATTTCGTTTACGAATTCTTTTCTCTATTCTTCTTTTGATCTGAAAGACAGCTGTAAATATGAAAAGAAAGCGAATCAACTGAAGAAAGAACAAAATCAGAATTTAGCAAGTCTCTGAAGGTCTGGCAGGCAAAAAATTAAATTTTTGCTTTTTTTCACCTTTGCTCTTCCTTTCTCTCTCTTTTTTCCTAAAAAAAACTCTTTTTTTCTAAAACTTAAAAAAAAACTGAAAACGTCAAAAAATAAAAACGAAATAGAAAAACTATGGTAACTTTTGAAAAGAGTACAGTTAAAAGCTAAGATTATTATAAAAAGCTATACTAATCTCTTTACTTTTCTTCTTCCTTTAACTTCATTTACCCTGCTTTTCTTCTTTATTCGCTTCACCTAGCTTTAGTTCAAAAAAAAATAAAATAAATAATAAGAATTATCAGAAAATTTCTGCCTCTTGAAGAGATGGAGCGATACTAATATGCGTCATTCTAACTGCTCGCTGTTCTAAAAATTGTAATGGTAGGGTATTTTTACAACGTTATAATAAAACATAAAAACAGAAAAAAAGGCTTTTTCTTTTTTATTTGACTAGACGACCCTTTATACCAGTATTTTTTTTATTGCTGGGTTAGCCTAAATAATAATACAACTATGCTTCTGCTATACCTGACTAAACCAGTAATCCAGTGCAGAAGTGTTACTTAAGTTGTCCAAAAAGATAAGAAATAAAGCAACTAAAATTTTGCAGATTTAAAAGTCAAGAACAACTGTTAAATAAAGTTTGCTTATCGTTGATTTTATCTCTGCTGCTCAAATTTTTGAGACATGATAAATATCAATAAACTTGGATATTACGTCTAGTCTTTGTACTATATCCTTGCCCGCTTCTTTTTTTCGTCAATTATAGTCACCGATGGCATGTACTTAGCGATGTTTATTTTGAACTAAAGCATAATTGTGAACAAAAATACAACCCTTTTTTTTGCTAAAATTGACTGCTTTCAAACAGGCAAAAAAAAAAATAAGAAAAAAAAAACGATTTGGATTAACTGCAAAAACAAAGAAAATAAAAAACAGAAGAAATGAAGCAAAAAAAAAAAAGAATTTGTTTTTTTTAAACAATGCTATAAGTTTTGTATCATTTAAACTGTTCTCTCTTTCTTTTACATCGTTTTGGTATTGGGTAAAAGTAAATGATCAACAAAATACGGTCGTCCTCCCAGCAACCTTAAACCGCTCACGGTTTCTAGTTTTGGTTTCAGAAGACAGTGAAACGATTCCACCTTTCATAATTGCCAATATTACTGTACCGCCGTCGTATACAATGACTGGCCGCTCTGATTTTTGTGAATAGCAGCACAATATTCATGTCAATTTTTCTCCCAAAATTGGTTTGAACGCTTATGTTCTAATTATTTGATTCATTGTGCGATCAGTTTTTTAAGTCCAAAATAGCAGGTAAATTGTTGTTCAAAATAGTAAATTCTTATTTTAACTTAGCAGAAGAAATTGTCTTTTTTTTGCTGCAAAATTTATCATTGAGCAATATGGAGCGATACCAATGTCAAAGAAAAATAAGATATATATTTGATTTCAGTAGTAAAAATTCCCTAAGAATTGTTCACATCTTGCAAGACGTTTATTGACAATAGCAGTGCCAAATTTTCGGTTTGCAGGAATTTTGTGTCGTTGCCGCTGAACCCGCTCGCTTTCCCTTTTGGAATTTTAAACCATTTTTTGCTCTTAA